GCCTTAGGGACGTAAAAGGCTATATAATGCTTTCATGGGTCTTCTTTCCAAATATTGGGTCAAAAGTTGAAGCTAAAACACCAGACCATAATTTAAAAAAAAGAGAGGGAAGGAAGGAGGAAAGAAAAGGGTAGGGAGAGAGAGAGAGAGAGAGAGATTGAGAGGACACGCGCTACAATGATTTTGGCAAAGTTCAAAGTCAGGTGCGCTACCGCAGGCTGATCTCACCATAATCCTGACACTTGGACCTTGGCCCCTCCTCTGATTTTGAATTTGATTCTGTTTATTTTTTTCTCTTTAGCAATCACTTTTGTCTCCTTGATTACTTGCTTCTGATTACTAACTTGGCTCCACTGCTAACTCGGGTTTGCTGGCTTACGCTTTTAACTAGGTTTTGGCACCTCTTCAGGTGGCTCTTGGAGGCCTGCCCTGCTTCCCAACTTAAGGCTGGGATTTAAACCTGAGGTTCAAGCATCGGTTCTCAAGCTCAACACATCCCCGTCTGAGTTTCTTCCAAATGCTCTTTTGTGGTGACAATATGGGAGTTGTATTGGTTAAGCATTTACAGTAGGTTGGTGATGGGATCAGAAAATTTGGGGTTCTGTTAAATAGGGTAAATCAGCCTTTGTGTGCCTGGTTCTGCCCTCAGTGCCCCCAATACTTCCATCATGAATGGGAGTCGATAGTTACACAAGCAACAAAGTTAGGTCTACAAAAACTTAGATTAAAGTTATCAAATAGATAATATGTTCAAAATAAAGACATGAAAGAAATAAATAACACAATAAAATAGTAAAACAAAAACACTATATATATATATATCATATATATGAAGAATTTTCTAGAAATAAAAAAAAATTTCTAGAAATGAATTACATGACAACTGAAATTAAAAGCCTAATGGATGAGTCAAGCAGCAGGACAGACTCGGTGACTGTTCCCACCAGCGGTGCATAAGTCCTGTTTCTCCACGCCTTTGCCAACATCTGCGGGTGGTGCAACCTATACACAGGGAGGCAAATTGCAGGCCGCACTGTTTCCTTATGGAATTAAGCTCATCTTAGCCAAGATCCTGCCCTCTTCTGGTTTCCTGGGTCAGCCCTTTACACACACAGGGACTTTAAGCCTCAGTAAATCCCTCTGCTTGTTTTTGTTTGTTGGTTTGTTTGGGGTTTGGTCCTGGGGCTCTCCCACAGCAAGGCTGTGCTTGTTCTTCCTGGTTCCCACACCCCGAAGCCTCTTACCCTGTGACTTCAGCATTCTGTTTCCCTTCTGGTTTTAGCTATGCTAATACCCAGATTCTGCTTTGCTCACACTGCACCTTTCAGCCCCTCCCTTCCCCTCTGCAGGCCAACGTTTGATCCAGCTCTCACCATTACTTTTCCTGTCTCTGACCACACCAATAAATATAGCTCCTTTATTAACATGTGGTAAGTAACCTTAGAGTCCAGCCAGGAGTTTATGTGTGTATTTACAGTTGGGAAGGCACCAGAGACATATTTTTCCAAACCTGAAACTAGACACATAGCCTGAAAACCAGAAGGTAATATAGCATATGGTTAGAGCATAGACTCCTGAAGCTGAATCTTGCTTAGATTTACTACTTAGCTGTGTGACCTTGGGCAAATCACTTAACCTATCTGTGCCTCATTTTTCTCATATGTAAAACAGAAATAATAGTACCCATTATATATGATGTTATGAGAATTAAATGAGTTAGTATATGGACAGTGCTTAGAACAGCGTCTGACATATAATGAGCACTGTACACGTTCCCTATCATCATTATTACTACTTAGCCGAGACTGTCCTGAGAAGTAGCAGGTGGCAATCACATTCACTACAATGAGAACAGTGTCGGGAAGTGCCACTTCATTTATGCAACTGGTATTTTCTTCTACTTTTTATTTTCTTCTCAAGATTCGCCCAGTAATTATATGGTTCTCACTTTTCTGATACAGCCCAGAAAATTTCCCAGCCCTCTCTGTCAAGCCCAGTGTTTGACTCTGGCCACAGAAACAGTTACGGCCACCTCGTTTCTGCTCTATGCCCTTTAGCTCTCCTTTTTACAAACCATTCTGCTTGGAGCGGCTAATAAATCTCATGCTCTCAGTATCTGAGAAGTTGCTCTTAGCTTTCTGATAGTGTTAAGCTGAAACCGACAGGGCCCAGGGTAAGGAAAGAGATGGCACTGCCTCTCTTCACACAATGCGGAGGTCATCTTGAGGCCGAACTTCCTTAGCATCCTACAACAGCCAAGATACCTAGGCCCAGAGCCTTTCTCTTCAACTATGCTCATCTGTTTGGTCAAAATTTCCAAAAAGCTATTTTCTCATTTTTCTCCTGGTGACTTCTAAGTGGAATATTTACTTGGGACAGTAATCAGTTCTGCATCAGGCTCTCTATCTATAGAAAGAGAAAGACACTGATTCAGAGGTAATGATGTAGTCTTGGGTAATCGCATTGTTAGATAATATTAGATAATGTTGCCTGTTTGTGGCTAATAAAGGCTTGGTTTGAGGTATATCCCAGAATATACTTGCAAGGGAGAGAATTGGGCTGTTCAGTAGATTGAATTCTCCTTCCAAACGCCTCTAAAATATTTTTTAAAGAATTCAAGGAAATACAAGTGTGACACCTATAAACTAACTCATATCCTGAAGTCTTAGATACCAACAGCTCAAAAGTATATTCATTAACTAATTAAAAAATATATAGTCAGTCTTAAATTTAGAATAGCCTATCTCCTGACTAATCCTCAAAGTCATAAGCTTTGATTATATGGCTTTTTGCAAGTGAGCACTCTTATATTTTCAGACTTTGGGAATTCAGGACAGGCCCAATAAGTGTGTTGGATTATCTAGATAATCCCTGTTCTCTACTGAAATGCAGTCAATTTTGACTTCTGACATTCTTACACTACCTGTTTTCAGGAGCTCATCAGTATTTTGTGATCAACCTCATATTTATCCTAGTTTTTTAGTGTTTGTTAATAATAATTGCCTCCTAAATTATGCTGAACCCTTACAAGGTTTGGGAAGTCAAAGATGAACAAAAAAGGATTTTTCCTGGAGGTGCTCACAGCCTGGTGGAAGATATGGACACAGAAACAATGATGATTCAAAGTGACAGCAGAGTTTACATAAGTTTAGGTCCACGGGAGTGTAATAGGGGGTTAAGGCAGAGCTACAGGAAAAGGGCAGTGAGGGGAGACATCAGGGAGGAGACGTTCCACCTGAGCCTTCAGGGTTATATAGGAGTTTACTAAGTAGAAGAAAGAGAACTTGTCACTAACTCAGGGCAAGAGCCCAGAGGCCTGGAGCCCGTGGTGTTGGGAGGGCACATGGGAGAGGCTGCCGCTGGAAAGGACATTGAAGTGAGAGTCCCAGGGGCATAAAGGAGGAACAGCTGAAGGTCTTTAAGTGGAAGAGTCATATGCTCTGACATAGGCAGCAGAAAGAACTTTCACTGACTGAGTCTCTTCAGATTTTCCGTCTGCATCTCCTGAACTGCAAACAATTCAGTACAATCATCTTTCAGCAGCTCAAGAAAATACTCAGGCAAGATTACTATTACTCTCAGGGAAGTGTATGAGCGGCATGTTTGTGGGGCTGGTGGGAGTTACAGGCAGTGGAATTGGGATGGCTAGGCTCCGCTTGCTTTTCCCTGAGGGAAAAGGGGTCTCATCCATGCATCTTGGCAGGAGGCACGGTTGGTCCCCTGGAGCCCAATCCAGAAGAGCTGACTAGCAGCGGGATTCAGACATCTCACCTTCCTCCACCTCAGTTCCTCCACCCACAGCCCCAGTCCAGCTTGAGCTGCATCATCTTGAGGCTCCCGTCAGCTCCAAGACTTTGTGTGGAACAACTCATTGTTCCTCAAACTCATTTTGAACGCTAACCTCAATTTTAACTGACCATCTTTCCAGTTGGAATAGTTTGGCTTTCACCTTCCATTCTCTACCTCAGATGCCTGGAGAGAGCAGGTGGAGAGCACCCAGGGAGAGAGGAATTGATGGGGTGGGGAT